GGATTTAGAAATTTTAGAATACAAATTAGTTGGAGGCAATATTACAAATGGTCTGTATATTTTATAATTATAATAAGTTGATGTATTCAAATGTGTTTATCATTAATTTTTTTTTGTGGATAGAAAATATTAAAACAGATACTTTTGAKAAAGATAATTTCTTTATGAACTCATTGTTGAATAATAAAGATTTATGTAACCAAAGCTTACATTTATATGAAATATATTCATCTCCTCTACTTGAACAGTACAATACCAGGTAAAAATATTTTATTTTTTATTTACATTTTTAAAACCAACATTATCTTTTTAAAGACATTCTGATGAACACGATGAATTAAAAGTCATACCAACTAAGGAGAAAAATCAAGAAATTCAAAAAATTAGTAAAAATAATAGTATTAGTCACAGATCATTAAAAAGTTCAACTATGGTAGAAATAACACACGAATCAATTAATGTTAAAAAGCGGAAAAAATCATCTTTCTTAAAAAGTCTTTGAAATTAATATTTATTATGTACAAATGATACACAATACTATATTTTTTTAATCAAATCATTTATTGGCAATAAAATAGAATGTTTAACAATAGGTCAATCCAACCAATTATTATTACATATTTTATAAATTCCACATGTACAAAATTTATTTAATTTTAAACTAGAAAATATATTTATTTTAAGAACCAGTCTCATTGTATTTATTCTGTAGTATCAAATGTTTAATAATTGAATTACAATTAAATCTATACTTTTTCAAACAATTATTGTGAATTAGTACAAAAATATTATTTTAATGGTACATTTCTTAACCCCTGATTATTTTTAAAAATATAAAGAACCAATACAGTTTAATCTTTATAAGTAGTCTTATCAGATTTTTGTTTACGGTCAGCTAAAATATTATAATAAGTAAAAGAAAATGGTAACTAATTGTTTTTTTGGCTCAATTATTTTATTTTAATAGTTAAAACAAATAAATTTGTAAATCCTAGGAAAACATAGAGAGATGACTGGAGGATAATTTTTAAAACATATTGAAAAGTCTAAAAATAATCAGTGGTTCATTGGTCTAAACTAAGTGTTAAATAACTTAACAGCTAAATTAACCAATGGAAAAATCAAATATATATTTAATATATTATAATATTAAACTGTTAGTAAACTCACATTTGACACCAACAGAATTTATATTATCTTCATACAGCGAAACCTTAACAACCCAATTTTAAATAGAATATATATAAATATACATTATACATACATACAATACACACATAATAATATGATTATTATAAAATAAAATGTATATTAATGAAATGGATACTCAAAAAATATTAAATATGAAAAATTGTAAACTTTTACATACAAATTTCAGCTCTTAGAAGTTTTTATTTAAATTATATCTTAAAAACAAATAATATACAGCTATACATATAAGCAAAAAGTTTTGTTTTATTATTATATTGTGAACATACGCCAATTTATTTTTATTTAAATTATATCTTAAAAACAAATAATATACAGCTATACATATAAGCAAAAAGTTTTGTTTTATTATTATATTGTGTAAATTTCAAGTTTTTAAATCAATATATAATTACAAAACAATATATATAACAATAACATTTAAAACAATTTTATACCAAAATTAATAAAAATAAAAATAAATTGGCGTATGTTTTGGTATATATAATTTAATAATTCGTAAAAACAAACTAATAAGGAACTAACTTAATTAATCATATGATTAACATAAATATCTAAGTAAATATGTTTGATAATTTAAAGCGACATTTTATAAATACAGAAATAAGAAATAAACTTAGAACCTATATGTAAATTCAACATTAGTAACATCCCATGTGTTGAAAATTTTCAATTATTAAATATTCTCAATAAAAGGCTTACTTAAATCACAGACAGAAATCCTTAGTTTATCGACTGCCACCAAAATCTGTATAATGGTTTACATAATTGAATAATTTATAGTTTATTTAATATCTAGTTTATTATTTAAACCTATAATAAATATTAAACAAAATAAAATGGTGATTTAATTTACGACTAGTTTTTGTTCTTATGGATTGAGTCATTTCATTTTTGTCATGACATATTTAAGCAATCCCATTTTGCGTTGTTATATAACCAATATTTAATTTTGAAAAAATGATATCAACTTGTGCTATTCAACTTTTAATCGTTTACTGAATTCTTCCTGTTGTCTTTCTTTCCATTCTTTTTTCGGTTTGTAACGTTTAAGTTGGCCATCCCTGAAAATAATTAATTTAGACATCAAGCTAATATCAAAGTTAATTACAATAATTTACTTATAAATATTAAATTAGCATATAATTTGTAGAACTCTTTTAAAAAATAAAATCTTAAACATAATCAAAAATACCATATAGATGATATATGCACTGATTTTTAAAAATGTAGTTGTGATTAAGAAATATTTTTTTGTAAAAAATTAAACTTAAAATACCTCTAGGTAATTAAAATCTTATAATCACGTGACAGTATGATTTTGACCAAAGTGTCGGGATTTGATTTGGAATGATGTTGAGTAATTGTTTTTAACAATTCGTATTAATTAATATTTTTGATCGATTAATTAATTTGTAATAATTTTTAATACTTATTAAAATGTTTATATAAAACTAAATTATTTAGTAAATATAAGAAAAATTGAATTTACAAAACAATAAACTTAGATCAAACTTGATATTTATAATAGTTTATAGTCAACAAAAATTCTAATGTACAGTTTAATATTACATACAATATCTAAATAAAGAAAATTTTAAATTAAAAAAAAATAAAGTTAAACCATRTTAAATAARATTTKTATAAGGTATACAATTTAAATTAGAAGTATAGGTTGAAATCCATTAAAATTTTAGGGGTGGGGGCTTCTACTAGCCTTGGGGACCCAGCCCTCACACAACTATGGTATCAGTTTTTGAAGGGGTTAATGAAATAGCAGGGGAGGTGCTTAGTAAAAAGACCCATTTTGCTTACTATGAAAACCATAATATTTAAGGTTCAGTTAGATATACAGGGTGTTCTGTGCAAGCACTTATCCAGGATCAATTTTCGAGGGGGGAGGGGGTTAAAAATATTTTAAGCCCGTCTTTTGACAAGATTGCGATCACTATATATTACAAATATATAACTATTTTAAAAATTTCTGGGGGGGTTGAACCCCTAAATCCCTCCTGTATACGGGCCTGGTTCCACGAGGATTTAGCCATTGCTATATCTCCCGAAATAATAGTGATATCAAAATTCTGGTTTTGTAATAAGACTCACAGGAATAAGAAAAACAATTATTTTATATTTTAATTTATTTTAATGTTTTGGTAAAAAAGTTAAAAATATYTTTTTTATTTAATTATTTCCAAAAAAATTGACCATAGCAATTTTAAAGAGTTTATTTTTCTGAAAATATTGACGTTTCAAAATTTAATTTTTTTAATTTTCTGATTTTTAATTTTTTTTTTAGTTTCGAGAAAAAATGCGAATCATTTAACACAGTAATGTTATCAAACATGTGACCCACCACACMGCGCACATTCCCATACGGCCTGCCAAATACTTTCCGTGTTCCTAAGAGTTATAATCATATTATTTTATTTCTTCAAAACTAGAAAAAATATTAAAAATTAGGTTAGGAATTTTATTATAAAACCAGAATTTTGATATCTCTATTATTTCGTGAGATATCGCAATGAATAAATCCTCGCTGGACACCCTGTATACCCATTATTTTTTTGAAATCTATTACCAAAATTATTCAGTTTCTTGAATTTTGAGAACTTCTAATTTTAATTATAACTTTAAATAACTAGAGTAACAAATTAATATATTTGATAACTGATTCTTAAAAGATATTATAAATTTTCTTACCATACTAGGTCAACAAGACCACCTTGATCAGCAATTACCCGTTTAACTCGATTTGCAAAATCGGCACCTGATTCATTTTCATTTTGGTACATTGGAGGCAAGTACCACACATCACACACAATTGCCCAGGATGTCATCATTAAATAAAGATGTTGAATCATTGAATATTTACTACTATTCCAAAATGCATCACCAAACCTTGGATCATACTAAAACCACATTTTCTAAATTATGGTTAACWATTAAAAATAATAAATCAATCGCAAATGTAACAAACCTTAATAGCTACAGGGTATATAACACTGCCAACTTCAAAACTTCCTTTTTTGAACTGCATAACAGATGTGTTGTTGATGCATGTTCCTTCAGGAAATACTAATATCGGTGGATTAATTGGATTTGTTACATGTTCCCGTAGCCTGAAAAATATATAAGTAATTTATTTGATACAACATTTTCAAAATATTTAGTCAAATATTAACCTTTTTATACAACAAACCTATTTTATTTATAGTATTCTTAGATAGGTGATGCTGATTTATAAGTTAATAACAATAACATATTAAGCAATATTTTTGGAAAAAATAGTTCAACATAACTAATAGAAAAATAAATTAATAACAGTAGGATAAATCTACCATAAAATATCATTAGGAATAGACAGYCTTCCCCGRAATCATCTTTGCATACAATGATTTATAAATTAAAATTTAACACAACATTGGTTGAAAGAATGAGGTTAAATGAAAATTTACTATGYATTCAGCAGAGTAAGTTTGTTGATTATAGATAACTAAGTTCAAAAATTATATTAGACAATATAACTAGATATAATTTTTTCGCTTCTATACATTTTTAAAATTGAAAGCAATGATAAATGTTCAGATTCTAATAAAAATCAGAGGTTTACTATTAATTATTGTAATTATACTTCTTTGAATGTATTTAAATAATTGTGAGAAACTGGAGGATAATCAATAGTTTATTGATAACATTGATATTATGGTAATTGGTCAAAAAGTATATTTAAAAAAAAAATGRKACTTTTTTTGTTAGACAATAGTCTGAAAATACAAAATATTCTATTCAATTTTCATTTATAATTATATTAATCATATAATATATTGTATTTGATAAATATTCTTAATATTTATTATTAAAAATAATGGTCAGTATAATAGTTATTATTATTGTTGACTGTAGAGAGATCAATGCATGTATTGATTTTTTTTTAAATTTTTTTTATTGTTTATAATATTTGTAAAAGGTTTATGTTTTTCTTATATATTTTTTAACTTACTTTTATTGACTACTTTTTAAAATTTTTAAAATAGAACTTAAATATTTATAAGCTGTAAGTAAGTATAAGGAAAAGCAGTCAAATATAATATTATTATTGTATAAGAAGTTTAATTATATTTTCTAAAGGAATAATATTTATAAATGAAATTTATTTTAATTAAATGTATGGGGACCCATGTAATAAATTATATAATTATCAATGAGAATAAATAGAACATACGTTCAACATTTTTCAAAACAAGTTTTTCTTCCTGTGTTCAGTTATTATGCCATTGCAATATAAATAAAATTAAAAATTTGTATTTTCACATAAAAGTATATTCACCTCATTGCAACAATTTCTCTGTCTTTGGCTTCAGATCGCTCAAACCATAAATGAGGAGAAGCTCTGGCTAATGCTCTTTGAAGAATTCCTAAAAACCCTCCATGTCTCTGACCAATCTGGTATAAATAGAATGTAAAAACAATTTCATCAACTTTATAGTTATAATATTATTATTAGAAGSAAATTATAGTTTGTCCAAAATATAATTAGAAACTTGGTTGATAGAAAAGTAATTCTAAATATATATTATTGTGTAGATAGATAAATAAATATAATTGTAAGTTAGGGTTGCCGTTCGTCTCAATTTTGTATGACATACTATTGATGTTTAGTAAACTTACAGTTCTCATAAAGTATGTGAAAAAACACTTGTGTATTAATTTTTATATTGAGTATAACTAAAATACAAATTTAAAAAAATGGAAAAAAAAATATGTTTCTATAAAAATCAATATTGTGGTGTTCAAGGTAATAATTTTGAATAAATGGCAACCCTATAATGTAAATGAAATGAATGTTAGATAAAGCAAATGAATTAATATTAAATCAAATGTGTATATCATTAATCATTAAATGTATGATGTTTTGTAGAGGTGCATCTTAAAAAATAATGTTTTTGGATAAACTACTCTTAAAAATTGCATTATGATAATAATGATGGTGCACTAATTATTAAAACGCACCAGAGCATAAGGGTTATCGCATGCCAACACTAGTACGTCAACTGGAGATGTATGATTGGCAACACAAATGCCTCGCTTAGGTAGATTTTCGCGATTATGATAGGTGATGACTGAAGATAGTGAAGCAGCTAAAACTTGAAAACACATAATAGATAAATTTTGATTCAGCCAACGTTGACCCATATTATCAGGCACAACACCAACAATTAATGTACAAATCCACAGCCACATAACCTGATCACATAAAATATTAAAATTATCAGATAAGTGAACAAAATGTAGATAAGAAAACATTATTTTTTTTAACAAAAGATAAATATAAATTTTACACAAAACCATATAATATAAACAATCTAGTTTCCTCATTTAGTCTATAAAAATATATATTATACTAATTAATTCATATTTTGTTTAAAATACATATACAGTAGAACCTCAATTATCCGAACCTCTGTTACAGGAACCCTTTATTATCCAAATGTTATTTCGACATCTATGAGTAAAATTTGACGACACACACGCCCTGATCGGTCAATTTATTAGCACATAGCAACAATTTGTCAAATAAGTTTATCAAAAACAAATAATAAAACATAAATAGTAAGAAGTCTATAGTATTTAGTACTATTCTTATACTYGTAATAAGTAATATAACACAATATGCAATGTGTAATGATAAGTGTGTATAATAAGTTGATAATAATATGCAACAATAATTCTATATCTATTGAACAAATAATATATTTTTAAATTTTGAGTGTTCAAACTTTTGCTTCCCAACTCGATGTGGTCCCAGTTAGTTCAGATAATCAAGGTTCTACTATAATATCAATTTAGGAATTATAACAAGGCAAATTGCATAATGTAGATATTGGTACATACTATATATATATATTTAATTTTAAAACTGTTTTGTGCAGACCATGATATTTCTGAAAACGGTTTTATCAACTATATATAGAAGTTATTACAGTTACATGATATAGTAATAAAGACCTAGTTTAAGGTAACTAATATCAAATTCTGATCTTTATTAAGCCTCCCCACCCATTGAAGCATTCTGGTTATGCCACTGAGATTTTTTAACTTAGAAAACTATAGAAATAAAAATATTTTAAGTATAGTGGATAATTAATCATATTCTTTTATTAATGTGTAGTATACGTGCACTGAGTTAAAAAATAAATAACTTATAACTTTTAAGTTAAAGTAGGTACCTAATATACATATTAGATTCATAAAGGTCTGCCAGTGTGTATAGTATGTCGTAAGCAATATGATGAAATTCAAAAAGGTATAAGCAATAATTTAAAAATGATGCCAAATTAAACATTTAAATTAAATATTATTTAAGCTAAATCTTACTTTTGATAAAAAAAATTGTTAACTCATAAAAATTGAAGTAAAATAAATAATGATTTATAGAAAAAAATCAATTTATCTAAACCAATGTTTATAAAAATATATAATATATTGCTTACTCCTTACTTTTGTTGATAAATTGAGTTGTGCAGTATAATTTTAAAGTTAAAATTGTATTTATTCATAAATTATGTATTTTCATCAAATAATGCAAACATGCATATACTTGACTAATTACCAAAATATAATAATTGTGAGCAAATAGAATAAGAATATCAATTGGTGATGTATGGTTGGCTACACAGATTCCATTACGCCTTGGAATCCATTGTGGATTATGGACATTTATGACCATTGTCATGGCATATTGAAACAATACAAAAATATATCGAGAAATATAGTTTATCAACGATTTTTGTATTGATTCATCCTTTATGGTCAACCAAATAATGCAGATTGTTAAGCTAAACAACATAACCTGTAGATYGAATTATACATTGAATTTATTAAACAATAAAATGTTTAATGGGTTTATATACATTAATTTTTAATAAGTACTCATAATGTTTTGTTACATAATGCTATTGTTTAAATAATAATTCCAATGCATATTTAATTAATAATAATGTGCAATATTAAAATTGCCATTTTGCCAATACTACTTATTAGTAGAGGTGGGAATTTGATGACTTCCATTTTTATTAGAATGCCTTACAGGGATGATTTCTTACATAAAAATGTGATTCAATAACATATAACCTAAATAATTAATTTTTATTTTAAGTTTTTTTTTTTATTATTAATTAACCTGCAGCAACATAGGTTTGGTTACACGTGTGTGGTAAGGGTTTTTAGTAGAATTTTGAATTGGGCACCCATAGGTTTTTGCCATACCCGGTTGAGAGCTGGCGGTCACTCTCTTTTGACAGTCACTCACCCAGAGAGAGGCACAACTGATGGCTAGGATTTAAACCGGATTTAAATCGGTACCTCCATCCCCCTGTATTTATATTATATTTTAATTTAAACAAGTATGGTCWAGTAACATGAAATTCAGAACAATCATTTGTGATAAACATTATAATAAATGCAATAAAATAAAAACATTGATGAATCCAACCATGTATTTTTTTTTTATTAGGGGGGRCCTGAGGCAACATAGGCCATTGGGTGTGGGATGGTACGGTAAGGGTTATTTTTGTATATTTTGTTTGTAGGTTTTTAAGTTGGTAGAGTTGTACCACATGTTTGTGTATGTGTGGCAAGGATATGTTGCTAAGAATCCTGGGTGGTCACCCATTCAGGAGCTACTGCGCCGATACATACGCTCAGTGCGTTTCTGCAGATTGAGGGTAAGACCGCGCCTTACCAAGCCACTTAYCATGTAATATTATAAAAATTTGATCTATAAAATTATTTATTTTGCTATTTTTATAGCTTTTACATTTAGAAATGTTATAAAATTTTTGGGTCAATTGAAAAAATAAGACATTTTTAGGTAATTATTTAATGGTCATCAACTTTTGAGCTGGACTAAGTAGTCCTAATAATTTATTAATATTTATACTTTTAAATTTATGCAAGCTTACCCTACGGCCTACATTAAAAACAAACCTAATAATTGTGATTGAAAACAATTATTATTCTTAAAATAAAATAATATACAATAATTACAGTTAACTATGAAAATAAACATTGATATTTTAGCAAATATAATTTTAGACTAAGCAAATCTTGCAATTCAAAAGTATAATATAAGCATAGGAGTGCGCAAACGTTTTTGGCAGAGTCGGCCAAACCAAATAGATTTATTAAAGAGATACTTTAAGATATTTTATTGATTCAATTTTTCAATATATTCAATAAATTATTATCATTGAAAATTATAATTTGTAATTTTATTATTAAAGTTTCATAGTAAAAATTTTTCAGGTTATATGTATAATAAGTACAGTACAGTTTGTAGGCTGTGCCATGGTTCACCTGGCCCACCCTGTGCCCTAACCTTATAAATATAAGTTATCAAATAGGTAAGTAAAAATAAATAAATAAAAATAAAAACTTACGCCAAAGAAACAAATCAACACACGTAATGGCAACAAAAATGTATATCTTACAATAAATCCAATAATCCAAATGACAGTTATTTTCCAGTTGATGAATTCATAATGTCTATTTGTCCTTGTCAACAAATTCCATGACTAAAAATAATTAAATTTGTGTCAGGAACAATTAATACATAAATCTATACATATATATTATTCAGAGGCAGATTAGGTCTCTGAGAAAATGGTAAAATCCCCTAAGGACCATTATTGTGCTGTATACAAAAAAATTGTATACCTACTATCACTGTCATTCATTTTCAAATTGCAATGAAATAAGAAAATCAAAAATGTTTTCATTTGATTTTACGAGGTGGATCCAGTATTCTATGTCGTAAATATTTCAAATGTTTATGTGAAATTAATTTGACTTTCTAAGAAATTTTTTTTTTAAAGGTAAACAAATGTATAAGTATTGTGTTAAATTTTAAAACCTTAGATATAAAAAGAAAAAAATGTTATGAATTTTTAACTCTTTAGTTTCTCTTTTGATAAAAGTGGGAATCTAGTTAGTATTTTTAAGTGGTAAAAGTTGAAGTTTTCCTGTTGTTTTCGAAAAAGCTTCTTGAAAACCAAAAAAGGTAATTTTACGTACAAGCAATTTTTTTAAAAATCGATTTTAATTTTTTGTTGGTTTAATTCAAAAACTAGTAACTGTATTAGTATAAAATATTATTCCAATATGACCATATTAGAATTTTCCATGTATGATAATGTTTTCAAAATAATCTAAGCTATTCATAGCCTTGATATATTTTTCAAATATTGTAAATTTTTTTTTTAGTTATTTTCAATTAAAACTTGTTTACTTATTTAAAAATCTTTACTCAAGGGTCCTCATGAGATACTTTAATAACTAATCAAAATTATTAAAGATGCAAAGACATAATTATTTTTTATATGCATTTAAGTTTCAAATTTTGACAAAATTCATCAAAATACCCAAAAATCTGCAAATTATTTAAATTATATTTAACACTAAAATTTTTAAAAGAAAATTGCCGACAAGTTTACCTCTATAAAAAAAAAAAGTTCATCTAAAACTTACACTATTTATAGCCATGGGATATTTTTTAACTATTAAATTTGATTATTTAATATTTATAGAAGTATTTATCATTAAATTCATATATATTATATCTATTAAAACAACAAGTTCAACAACTATTGTAGAATAGAGCTATTACAAACTTGTCTACCTTTTTTTGTTTTGTTTTTTCTATTGATTTTGTAAATTACAATTAATTTTCAATTTTTATCTCTTGAATGCAATTGGTGCAAATTGATTTCCTACCAGAAAAATATTGAAGTTGAAAGTTTAATTTGAAATAATTATAACGTACAGACACAAAAATCTAATATAATATGTGCAAAAATGTCGGATAGAAAAATTAAAAGTAATGAAGATGAATGACTGTAACTAATTTAAAGTTGCTTGAATTGTGTGATTTTCCCAGAATAATTTTTCCCCCTAATCCACTACTGATACTATTATACTATTTCTAATTTAAAATTTTGATTGAACTGAAATCAGTATAATTATAATATAAAAATTTTGTTTCAAAACTATAATTTATTAGGTTAGCAAATAAATGTTATTACACAAATAATATTCATAAACCTACTGTGTTTCAAGGTACAATATAATAGAACTAACTTGATTAGAACACATTGGGTGGTGACCTATTTGTCCCTAATACCCGACAGCAACGATTAACCGAATAATTTGCAGTTTGACCATGCATATGGAAAATAAGACAAATAATATAATGCTATTTACATAATGCTACCTACATTTATAATTTATATGCTTATTATAAATATTATTATTTTGAAAACAACTCTTATCTTCATGGAATATATGTGGTAGTGGAATAAAAATGATCGACAAAAATAAAATACATAACTGTATACGTACAATATCATAACATTTATAACATATTGTATGACATAAAATTATTACATAAAATGTATTAGATATATAGTGATTAAATAAATACAATTTTGATAAGACAACAGGTTTGAACTGATAAAACTATGTCACTTAATTATGACCAATGATTTGTCCCCAATAAACAAARTTAAATTGCCTAAAATGAATACACATTCGTATGGGACTCTGCCGATTTGTCCCTATAAAGCGGTAGTCCCTTTTAAATGGTGTCCTAATCAAGCGGATTTCACTGTATATTAATTATTTAAGCTAATGAAATATAATATTATCATTATAACTCAATAGATATGTTTACCTTAAGTTCTTCTGCTTCAAATCGTGAAGTAACTTGATCTTCTATAATTGCTTCAACACCAGTTTTTACATAATCAAGTACATCAGCAAGTTCGAATTCTCGTTTTAAAGTATTAAATGAACGAGTTCTTTGTAGTATTTGTTTACCCTAAACATGGATATTTAAAAATTAATATTAATGTCAATTGAATATTATTAAATGTACTTAAAAAGTTATTATAATATATTTTATGTATAAAAAATGTATCAATTATTTTTTAAACTTACTCCTTCAGTTTTAACATTATTATTGCCATTATAATTTTGATCTGGATCTGGAACTAGTATTAAATCTTGTCTGCTTATTAAAGGTGGAGCTCCGTTTTGTATTTTCTTATCAACATATCCATTAGATAGACTATTTGTTGAGTTACTCCGAGAGATAGATCCATTTGAATTCATTGGCTCTAAATATGTTGTAGATTCATTAAATGTATTTGTGTCTAGTTCAGTCACTAAATCCAATTCATCAACATCATCAGTTTCTTCACTATCAGTTTCCTCGACTCTTTTAGGTTTTTTTTTTGACTGTTTTTCTAGATTTTCTCGACCATACTAAAATAAAAATAATTTTTTGATAAATATAAATTACTAACTATATAAATACTAATCACATTTTACGAGTAGTTATTAGTTAAGAGGACGTTATACCCACATTGTCTTTTTTTAAGCTTTTTAAGCATTTTTTAAGCTCAGCAGAACACGTGTAGCTCTGTTAGTTTAAAATTTAGAGTGAATTGACCTCCTATAAAAATTAAAGGTAACATTATTATCAAGGGCTTCTCATAGGCTTTTTATATAATAAAATAATTTTATAATTTAATATAATAAAAAGCCTATGAGAAGCGAACAATAATAATGTTACCTTTAATTTTTATGAGAGGTCAATTCACTCTAAATTTTAAACTAACAGAACTACACATGTTCTGCTGAGCTTAAAAATTGCTATGTTATGCACTTGTAAAACAGAGACAACACATGCGGGTATCACATCCTCTTAATACATATTACATTGCATCTAGTGTYAATAATCAAAACTATTTATAAATCATAGGTAAATATGTTTTATTATAATTTAGCATGTAGGTAGGTCCCTATATACCTATTTTAATTTTAGTTCATATTCACAGTTGTTAACTTYCTTATTAAACAATAATCATTTAACTARCGTACCATCCATTAAACTACAAAAATCATTATTTTAAGAAAAATACATTACATATAACATTTTTAAAGAAATTTAACATCACTAGTTACTAACAATGCAGAATATAATTTGAAAATAGTATGGCTATCTCCCAATATGCGATCTACTTCCGTTTTGTGTACTACTTAACTATAAATATGAGTATAGTATGTGGTCTACCAATGTTATGTATTCTACCTACCTATAGCTGGGAATTTCTCATCATTTATATTTATCTAAATTTTTTATAGCAATATACATTTTTTAACGTAACAATTCAGGTTACTAGGTTTAGTGTCAGTTTATGGTGAAATAACTTTTTTTAAATTTTCAGTTGAAAAAATAGTTTTTAAAATGCTAGTTAAAGATTTTCATAAAACTTTTTTAACTGAAGAATCTACTGTTAAATACCTGCACGATTATGGCCTAMTATTATGCAAAACAATGTCACAAATGTGACAGTGAAGTAAAATTATACCAAAGAAATTACCGTGGAAAAGTAAGAGAAGTTTTCGGTGTAAAAAATAGGTTACCCAATTGGTATGTAATGATAATTTATTTTTTACTTACGCGAATGCAAATGGTCGAAAAATGGTGGATTGAGTCTCAATGAAATAATAATGTTTGTGTACTTCTGGATTACGGGCAATAAACTTGTTTAAATAATAAAATTTATGGGGAGATCTAAAAATACTAATTGTGACTGGATGAATCTCAGTAGAGACATCCCAGTTAGTCTATTTAACAAAAGGCAACCTTTTGGAAGTCCAATTGACGAATGTTTGTTGTGAGGTGCAAGGAAAAATAATAAGGGACGCTTTCAACTTGCCGATTTAAAAGCTGCATATACCCTGACAAGAAGATTAAGAAGACACTAATCGTAATTATGGTTGGAGAATATGTGAACCAATGGTAGTCGGATTATGTTGAGTTTTGGAAAATAATTTAATTGACGCAAGATTTTTTTGTTGTTTAAAAAAAAGACAGAGAAATTATTATTTTTATTTATTTATACATTCAATATTATTACGGTAGACCGTATATTGGGAGATAGTCGATAGTATAAAATGTGAGAAAAGATAATTTTAATTGGTAGGTGATATAAAATTCAAGAAATTTGAAGGTTTGAAGTGGATAATGATGAATAATATATTATAGCTAGTTACCCATAAAATATATATTATTATTAATTAATATTATTAACCTATCACCTAAACAATATGATAACATGTAGAATTTTTTTACAAAATGTATAATTATTTTATTCCAATTAATTTAATTTAAAAATGTATATGTGTACATTTACACACACAATTAATTTTATTTATTTTTATAAGGTTATTTGTTATCAGGACAAACTGGCAAGGTCATTAAAAATCAAATTTAAAGTACAAGTTTAATTTATGAAATGCCCTTCTTATTTAAATATAAACAATACTTATCATACATTTAACAGACATTTTTTAAAATATATTTATCGTTATCAAATATAAATCTGTACAAAAAGTTTTTAACTAAGCAGTTTAATTAAACTTCATAAAATTAAGTTATTTATAATTTCTTACCTAACATATTTTATTGGATAAAATAATAAAATATAACAGAAATTCAATAAATTTATTATTTAAAACATTTTTTTTTTTTATTAAATAGGTAATAAAATTATATTAAATAATTCTTGTCTAAATRAGRTTAAAAACTAGTTTGGTGCAATTATTATATATGATTTTGCTGAATTGTTTATTCTTATTAAGGAATTTTGTATTCTATTTAAGTATGTATGCTGAAGAAGTAATACAGACTGCATAATTCTAAATATAATATAAAACATAGAAACAGAATTTTCTTTAGTAAAAATTCCATTCATTTATTCCTTAGTATTTACATTAGGTATCCAGATATTTACCCACACATTATTTTATAAATAAATCAAATTATATTATCTTTCATTGAACATAGTTAATATTTATYACATATACTCCATTCTAAAAGTGSCAATCAATTTCTGTCCAGTTGATACGTATTTCCTGCATAATGACATAGGTAGTGGAAGAGGAAAAAACTATGCAAAACTGTTATATTCCCTTTTGGAACAGAGTATAGCCACTAATTACTATTTCAAATAATTAAAACCAAAAAACATAACATAWTGATACTTTATAAACCAATAGATGGAACATATCATAAATATTGTATTTTCCAATAACACTTAGGTCTTAAAAAACTAAACTTACTTCTATACCTAACTATATCTACTTTTTACTATAAAATAAAAAGAGACAACAAAATAATAAAGTGTTATAGTAAGCTAAGATGTACCAATAAATAATAATACTTGGGTAATGACAAACAACTTTTATTATGTATATGTGGAAGTATAAATTAAAGCGGCTAAAAAAAAAATAAAATTTGTGATTTCTAGTTTTCAAATGATATATACATATGAAAATCAAATAACATTGTGTAACATATTTTTTAGTTATGCAATATGAAAAGTAATAATAAGTGAATAGAGATGAACCAACAAATACATAACTGATAGGTTAAGGAAATATTTGTTTATCAAACATAGAAAATCATATCATTAATCATTAAAGAACATTACCCTATCACAACCTTTGAACATTTGTTAGTTAATATCCAACTAAGTATTAATATTCACGTGTGTGATGACATGTTGTACTTTAAACTTTTTTATGTTGTTACCAAAATAAAATATGAATTATTTTAAACTTAGTATATATTTATTTTTAATATCAAATGAAAGAGGAATTATTTTTAATTTGATATTGATATTATTTAAATTTTAACAAACAATATTCAATATTCACTACTTTTAAGAGTTTATAATGTATAAATATTAAAAATATTATTTAAGATAAGAGTATATTTTTTTTTCTCTTTTGAAAATTAATTAAAATCGCATTTAATTTAGAAAATTATGTACATGGTTTTATACCACAATTTATATTATTACATGCATATTCGGTATACTTGCCATGCAAACACATAAACTCAAACTAGGAGGATATTCAAACAATTCTTTAATTTCAGAAATCTCAACAGGTATACAAAAATAATAATTATTATTATTCAGGGATTCCTAACCTACCTGCCTAGATTTTTAAAAATTCTTTTATTTTAACCACTCACCAATGGAGTAAACTTAACTCTAAAGTTTAGGTGAAAGGTGAAAAATATTAAAAATTAAATCTCTAGCTGCTGATGGATGGTAGTTGTGTATGTTAAAAAAATGCATCAAACTAATGCAAAGCACACCCATGGTGTGATCAAAATTATGCCTAACTTTGTGTATTTACATATTTCATTAAAATAAAACTCAGATAAAAATATAGGTTTAAACATGCCAATTAATAGTTGATATATACATTCAAACTTATTTAAGTAAATGTTTAGATATTATACATGAGTATAATACTGTATACTTATTTATTATACTTAATTAGTTATAAGAACATCTCTTATATACCTACCTACTTAGTACTTACCATAGTACATGACTTAATAAGTCAAAATCTTTTCACTAAGAAAATTGAGAATAAAATCGCAAAAACTATTTATTTGAATAACTCAAGAAATATCACTTTATTTGATAATTGTTAGGGGTTCAATCTTTTTTTATTTTTTGTTTATTATTAAGTGTTCCTGACATACAAGGTCATAAAAACTCATTGGTAAGATAATAGAAAATTTAACATTTAGAATAGGTAAACATAATTAATTACAATATTTACAACAAATTTCAATAATTTAGGGATGCAATCAATCATATTAGGTATATATGAATACCCATAATATTTCAATTGCATCACTAATATAAAGTATAGACCTTACACTACACCCCCAAGAAATGTATCATCTAATAGGTATACTTTTCAAATTTTCAAATATATCTCAATGACCTTACAGTAACCTGCAAGTGAAATTGGGAAATGTTGATTTTAATGAAATAAAATGTAGATATTATTTATTAATATTAATATAATTTTTCGGACGATAGTTAGGAGTCAATAATTACTTAATTTGTTTTTATTGATATTTATTTATTTTATCAAAAAATACAAAGATATAGTTAGGTATTAACAGTAATAATATATAATTGTACTATCATAAAGTGTTAACAAAATGTTTAATATCTCAAGTATTACTCACCTCAAATACTTTAACTAGGAAGTCCACGTAAATCTGTTGTAATCCTAGTGTCTTGCCGATATATGCCAACAGAACGATGCTGAGGAAGAAAAGGAGAAACGGGATGAATATCACGGATAGAACGGTGAAGGACAGTGTGTCCATGACGGATACAGAGGACATGGCGATGGTTTATCGTGAAGAAAATCGTTACCTCAACAATTGCATATCAAATATCAATGGTTTGAATGTCGACTGAACACTAAGACGTCGTGTGACCATAGACCGGGGCAAAAACAATCATCATCAGACCAACTACCTAGTTAGAGTAGTTTGTTRAGATGTAAACCCGATACGAACTAAACTATTCTCGATAAACAGTCAAACGGCGCGTTGTCGATAACGCCCCGAATCCACGAAGACGACGAGAAACAGTCGTGGTCGTCAATACAGCTCTTCGCCAGCTCTTGAGAGGAGATAGGCGTGCGTCGGTTATTTGATTTATTACCGTTGGTGGGCATAAAATAAGAAGTAGAAAATCGAGAAAATAATAATTTTTTTTTTAAATCGTTGTTCGAGACGAATAGACGTTGTAATTTGTATTATTAATTATTATTATCTATATTGCATACATAATATTATGTTATTATTGCGTGTCGCGTGATACCGTGATAGGCGGAACGAGTGAACGTCCACTAGAACTGATGACTACGATGGCGCAACCTATCAATGGCAATATTATACGCGGCGTGGTGTACTGGTGCGGCCGACCGGGGCTAGTGGCTACTGCGGAAACAGAATAGTCAGAGAGACAGAGACTCAGAGTACACAGTACACCAAGTGGCAAGTACAGACTGTTGAAACTTCAGATAAAAAACAAAAGAAAACCAACAATATAACTGCCTACGTACGGTAGAAACTATCGATATTATTATTATATTATCATATATTTTGTTGGAGGCTTGGAGCAATTCAACAACGCACACGTCGTACACAGTTGTGAAGTGTGGCGCTCGCGTGTGCTGCACTGCTGTTTTTACTTTTTAGTGTTTATACCGGTTAGTTCTTTGGTGAATGGTGATGGTGTGCAAGCATGGTGAAACGATAATCAGCGCCACTGAGGCGGTGGTGGTGGCCGGTGGGCAGTGGGCACGGCCAACGTGTAGGTATGACGACGCCAATTCAAGKGGATGACGTCACGTTCCGAATTCCGCGGATTCCCCCTCGTCAGACGTACGGCAAATGTGATATATTCAACAAGCTGATATAGCTAATCTAACATTCTAACTAACTTTAGTAATAATATTAACCTCTCTCCTATAAAAACTGTGTTCCGCAGACTCTATATAGTACCTACATCATTGGTTAATGTTTTTGTCCATGGCACTTTATCGGCTATGGCACCGTAAGTGGTGTATACAGAAGTTTGCACTGGGCTCTGGAGTCTGGGGGGGGGGATATAGGGTTTTTGCATTTTTTTCTTCAATATAATATATAGGCTAAAATAAGCACGAATAACTGAATTGGGCTATTATCCTTAGTTATGGCACCAAATAAAATTAAATCTGGAAGTTCAAATAATTCGAATGACCCACTCATCCCTTAAAATGACTGAGAAACATGCTAAACTAATATTATACATACATAATTTAATGACATTCCTGTGTTTAATAAAATTATATCAGCTAGATTAGGAAATATACTCTATTATTTTATCCGCCTTCCCCCAAATTTAAAGGCAATTCAATTGAACTACCTAAAGACTTTAGGTTAGGCTAAAGTACGTGTTCCTCCCCATTGCCCCTTAGATACACCTCTGCTGTACGCTGTACTGTAGGTGACGAGGAATCTATAGGAAAAAAGGCAATTAAAAAAAAAAGCAAAAGGAAAGAAAAGCAAATGAAAAAAAGGCATATAGGTAGGTGTAGCAAAAGCAATATGTAATAGTAGTATAATTAATKTTTTRACAATTTTAATATTAAATGTATATTGCATATTCCTCAAAATCAATATTACGTCAATATAATACATACATTTATAAATGTATCACACAATTTATAATGTAAGCCTTATGAACCTGGTATCACCCGGGTATCGGTATGAGATATAACCACTGAACTGTATAACTAATAAAAAAGCGGGTAAGTGGAAGTCGCTCTGCTGTATTACATTAGGTGGTGGGGTGGACCTCTGACAAGGGTATGTTAGATTTGAATGCAATGATAGGTATCATTGAATACGAAAAACGATGCTGAACGGAGATGATTTGTCAGTCTAGGATATATTATATTTAAATATTGTCATATATTCTATTTTGAAACATATATATTATTTTTCAATTAGAACGC